TATTTTGGCATAATGCCAACTCATCTGTCGCGAGCGGACTATTCCCGATACGGTGGAAACCTGCGCACCTAGTGGCTCCCTTTAAAGGCGGTGATCGAAGCGTTTACAGCATGGATCCGTCTTCATTCAGCTTGATCTGGCGTTACCGACATGCTGGTATGGGAGTTACCGTCAGGTCTTTGCGCGTCTCATGTTTTGTCCGATTTTCAACACGCGTGCAGATTATTTCTTTCTGCCCAGGACGCACTACAGGACGGTGCCGCGTGAGAGCCTGGAAGCACTGGCAATGGCTCGCTATCGACGACAACGGTGTTAGATCTCAACAAAACACTTTAAAACATCCAGCTTGACGTACTCCTCAAGATGCTTTGATATTTACTAGATAAATGAATCAGATGGCACAGCGAAGCAGCAGCCCAGTTTGGCAGATATTTGATCAATCGATCATCACAGTTTTGATCTCCTATCGATCGACTGGGAATCATGGGGCAGAACATGCGCCTGACGTGTTCCCGATGACGCAAGGTGTACCACAGGGATCCATTGTTGCACCGGTCATATTCGGTCTTGTCAATCACATGGCGTGCCACATCCCCAAGACCATCTAGTATTTTACGCAAGCAGCACACAGGCTCGAGCCTGAGCTCACCGCCAGCTGACGAGACGCACGACCGTGGCTGCGAATGTTGCTAGAGCTGATTACAGGATTGGGGTGTCTGCCTGCAACACCGGTCAGGGCCTTAGGGGCATCCTGCCGGTTTTTAGGACGCTTCTTTCCACGCGGCGATATGTGCCAATAGTCAAACCCCGCAAACGCTGGGGTTGTCCTCATATTCTCTGCCGCCGTCACCCGCGGCTGAGGACATGAGGACACGAGGCGCGGTTAGGCTCGGCCATCGCCTGGGGCGCGGTCCACGGGTGACGGATCTGTTACCGGGCGAGGCCGGCTCGTTCTGGCATTCCGAGTCGACCGGCACGCCACCTCGAGGCCGTATTATCACCGTCTTGCTGAAGCGGCCGTGACACGCTGCTCCGCGTGTCCCGCGCCAGTAAGGATAGCGCCGTCCCGGTGCAGCGAGGCGCCGCGGCAGCCGTACCGCCCCCGCCGGGTCCGTTGCCACCCTCGCCTGGTCCCTTACCACCATCGCCAGAATCGTGACCACCCTCCCTGGATCCGTTACCACCCTCGCCGGGTCCGTTACAGCCCTCGCCGGGTCAGTTACCACCCCTGCAGGGTCAGTTACCACCATCTCCAGGCTCGTGACCACCCTCGCCGGGTCCGTTACAGCCCTCGCCGCGTCAGTTACCACCCCTGCAGGGTCAGTTACCACCATCTCCAGGCTCGTGACCACCCTCGCCGGGTCCGTTGCCACCCTCGCCAGATCTGTTACCACCCTCGCCAGATCTGCTACCACCCTCGCCAGATCCGTTACCACCCTCGCCAAATCCGTTGCCACCCTCGCCACGTCCATTGCCATGCTCGCCAGATCCGTCATTTTTCATTGAAGCTTAATCAAAGCAAATATATTTTTAAGCTTTGTTTGATCCAAGCGCGCAAGCACTCATGACCCAGGCGTGCTATGTGCAGTGATAATTAGTCCCGCTCACCAGCCTGGTGTTTTTGTGACGTCATATGCAGGAGGCACGCCGCTCTACCGTCGTTGACTGCCCTTCGCGGCAGACAGAGACTGTATTATAGCCAGATATTGTGTAATAATATTGCACAGCATCAGGGGCGGATGCAGAGAGGGGCACCCTGCCCCAACTGAAAAGTAAAGACGCCAGTGAAGGGGTGCCGAGAGCGTCTCTTGAGAGCGCCAAAGGCAGCCGTCTATGGCAGCGCTTTAAGGGGCGCACTGCTCAGGCCAGATCGGGGCAGGATGTGTAATGGTCCCAAGGACCCAAAGGTGCCCCGAATCTCGGGAGGGTGAGAAGATACTCACAAGAAGTGGGGGCGCCCTCATGTCACGTAATAATGTGTTCTGGGAACGTGAAGAGAGCATTTAATAATACAATGGTTCCCGCGAGGGTGAAGTTTTGCAAAATAAGTGGAGGGGAGCGGCACTGAATACTGAAAAGGACGACATCGACTGAAAAAATATGCCAAAAAACTGATTCCTCCCCGCATTAGGCCCACTTTCTTCTCAAAGCTGGGGGACGGGAATGGAGTCACAGGATGTGTGTGAGTGAAGAGGCGTGGGGCGGGGCGGGGCTGAAGCCACGCAGCTGAAGAAGAGACCACGCCCCTGATAATGGGCGTGTATACAAATGCCTGCAGAACTTCGGTATCACTGATGTAAAATATTCCTACAAACAAGCACAAGAAGAACCTCAGCGTGTCAGCTCAGTCGGGCAATGTCGGCAGCTGAGGCGGGCAATGTACGCAGTCAGCCAGGGCGGGCAGCTGCCGAGGAGTCGTGTCGGCGTCCTCCGTCGGCGCCGGCTTCCTGGAGGGAGTTCCGCGAAAACTGGCTCGCCCGTGTGACTGACAGTCGCCTCGTAGGTGGGTTCTTTGCGCCGGCCGGGTCTCCTTCCAGGGGAGCCCCAAGCGGGCAGTGAGGCCCCTCCAACGCTGGGCAAGACAGCACCAACACAGCACAGCAGGGAGTGGAGCTCGGGGTGATCACGGGATGTGACCGTGTGCCGACAGGGCCGGCCGGCAGCCGTGGTGGCGCACGCCGGAGAACGCCGAGACCGTGGCGACGCTGGACCTGGTGCTGGGCCGTCTGCGCGGCTACAGCCCGGGCCTGGAGCTGCCCGGCGGCGGCGGCGGCAGCGCCTCCCCCTGACCCGGCCCCGGCCGCGGGGCGGCGGCCGTGACGGCCCGAGGCACCGGCAGCGCGAGTGACTGCCGTGACGTGCGCCGGACGTGGAATACACCCGTGTGACGGCAGTGACGTGCGGATACACCCGTGTGATGTCGGTGACGTGCGGATACACCCGTGTGACGGCAGTGACGTGCGGATACACCCGTGTGACGGCAGTGACGTGCACACGCTGGGAACACGGAGCAGACGCGCTGTGTGCGGGCGGGCGTCGCCGGCTCTTCGCCGCCTCGCTTATTGCTTCAGCTGGAGACTTGCCAGTCCTGTTCAAGGGCAGAGCAACGGTCCAGCCCGTGGGAAGAGGGGGGAGGCAACAACACCTTGGCACGCGTAAATTTCAAGAAAGGCCTTGATTTTTAAAGAGTCGTCGGATTTCGCTTCCTTAGCCTCACGCGCCACTTTAAGACAAACTGCCGCGTTAAAGAATCCTTCGCCTGTCTTCAAGCCCAGAAATGTGCCAAGTTTCGGTCCACCTCGCCCATGTTGGGCACAGCACGGCCGCTCTCGCCGTCCCTAGACCCGCCGCCGGTCCTATGTCGGTCAGCACTCGCTACTGTTGCAGTGTGGTAGGCGCTACTTGGCAACGACACTACCATACCGCGACACTGGTAATCTCTTCTGCGTGTACTTGCTCGAGCTCTCTCAGCCGTCGGGCGGCCGTGCCTTGTTCTCAGGCGGACGGCCACCCGTGCCTTGTTCTCAGGCGGACGGCCACAGTGAAGCACGTGTCATGCATTCCGGCTGATCATCATGTGTATTCGGACGAGTTCTCAAGCTTCACAACCACCCGCAGCAAACGAATCTCTATTGGCATATTGAGACAATGGCACTGGCTGGCGAGCGGATCACGGCGGAGGCACAGAACCGGACCGCCTCCCCGGGGAGCCGGCTAACCAGAAGGGAGCGAGTCCCGCCGCCTCGTGCAGACAGCCACAGACAAACTCTCCAGACAGCCGCAGACACAACTCTCCAGACAGCCGCAGACGCAACTTTCAAGACAGCCGCTGACGACTCTCGAGATAACTCCAGCCAGCTGCAGACAGGACCCTCCAGACAGCGCGAAGGTCGGTCGCGCGCCGGGCGATCCGTCGGAGACACAGCTGCCGGCCAGACCGCGTCACCGGGAGTGCACGCGGACACGCGCCCGGCGCCGGGTGCAGACATGCTCGCCGGGCGCCGCCCGTGCCGGGGGGGGGGGGGGGAGGGGCGTCCACCACACCTCGCCGTTCCGGTACTGCACGCGCAGGGCGCCGGCGGACGGGCGGGCGCCGGCCGGGAGTCACCGGCGCTGGGACGGCCCGTCGCCGGCGGCTGACAGGCGGGCTCCGCACGCGCCGCCGCCGACGCACCAAGGGCGGCGCCGTCTCGCGGAGCGGCGGGCGAGCGGAAGGGCGACACCGCCGCAGCTCACCACCCGCTCCCACTCGGGGACGACTGCTGTCGGTCGGCTGTGGTGCCGAGTCGGCGTCAGCAGCCTCGAATCGTGCTTCTCATCGCAGTTTACCTGCCAGACTGGGCTCCCACTGTGGGGACCAAGTGTGAACTCTCCCTGTGGCGGGCGGGGACCGGCTGGCGACGCGCCGGGTCGGCCCAGTCGTGTGGCAGTCCACGGCTGGGGGGTACGAGAAGGGGGCAGAAGCCCCTACCACCAGGTGCCGATCGAGCCCGACCGGACGCTAAGCACTCTGTACGTAGTACAAACACCGACAGACTTGCTGTCTTACCTTACCATACAGGGCCATAGTGGGTTACCCTCTGGCTTGCGCGAACGCAAGCGGCGCACACATAAATGCATATACACGTCCTCGACGCCTAGCAACGCCCGCCACACCGTCAACTGCACGGTACGCGCGGCGGACACCCGCAGAGGCTGACACACGTAGCCGCGCCGGTAGCCGGGTCCGCCGGCATCCAACAGGGCGGCTTCAGCTGCCAGCCGCGCCTCGGACGTCCGACCCGGGGCGGCAGCGGCCGCTCAGACCGCCGTTAGGCATCAGCGGCGGCCGCAACCGGGCCGGCGGCGCGGCAGCAGCGCCTGCGTCCGCGCCTGTACGAGGAGCGGCGCCTCGCACGGCTCTGGACGGTCCGGCTCCGGCCCCGGCCGCGGGCTCGCCTGACCTGCTGACGGCGCGGCCGACGGCAGCGCCGGCAGCCACCGCTCCTCAGCACCGACGCACGGCCTCGGCGCCGCCGGCGTCCGGCAGCAGCAGTAGCAGCAGTAGCAGCAGCACGCAGCACCTCGCAGCAGCAATCGGGCGTGATTACCTCAGCTGTGGGCGCCGGACATGGCTTCCAGCGTGCCACGCATCTATGGCGCGAGCACGGGGCGAGCGAGTCTTTCTTTCTTCCTCTGATTCTGACTCTGGCCGATCCATCACGCCGCCCGGGCGGGCCGGCGCTGCCGCTAGCCCACTAGCCGCACATAACTCCCAGTCCACCAGCAGCACATAACGACTGGCCGCTGCCTAACTGTAGCCCCCATGTAAGGCCAGACCAGGAGAGGCTGCACCGCGGCAGCACACGCGCTGCATCCGGCTCCGACGCCGCCACGCCGGACCGATGACGTCATACCGATCACTGGCGCGACATGTGACGTCACACGCGACGGGTCGCGCCAGCGATGCCGCACGAATGATTGCTGCAGCGCATTACGCCACGCCAATGACGTCAATGACTGCGGCGGACCGCATCAATGACGTCACACACCGGTAAGTGGGCGAGTGACGTCATCACACCTTCGATAGACCCGCCACCACGCGGACGACTGCTGCGTGACGCCACACAGCTGATTGGTACGTGACGTCACACCAACGCTAGCCGGTGCGGCCTCGACTCCACGAGCCCTCTAATAAAAAAGCGATGCGTTCGAGCTGCCGCCCAACGCAGACGCCACAGTCACACACAGACGATGTCATAACAGATGTCACAACCACTGGGCGGCGCCGCAGCGCCATCCCGCTGTTTGGCACAATCCTCGACACAGGGACAGCTCCACCGACAGCCGCGCCGGCGAGCGCAGCAGCGAGCTGGCACCCATTGCACGTGATATATCCAGAGGCGGCTCCCGACGCGCCCTTCGTCGGCCGCGGCACCTCCCGGCTGAGAGCATAAGTTCGGGTTTGCACCGTGGCCGTCAAATGGTAGACGCCGCGGCGGTCTTAGCTGCGGTTATAGCGATTGCCTTCGCCGCGCTTGTGGTCGTCCTTGTAGTCGTCCCACTGGCGCGCCCTGGCCAGCGCAGCAGGGTCGTCCCGCTCCTGCAGCCGCTCCTGAGGAACAGCTCGATGTAAGCGAGGAGGGACGGCGCGCGGTTTCAAACAAGAGCGCAGTTTAGAACAGTGTAAATTCCTTCATTTCGGACGTGCGTTGTCGTACAGTCAGGGCCCGGGAATGGTACTTGACGTGGTGTTACAAAACGCCTGATATTCTACACAACGCTTAACATGACAATCGACATAAGGCGAAAGGGACAACGACGAGGGAAAGAGGACGGGAACGGGGACGGACACTTAGATAGCGAGATGGCAACGGCAAAGTAAAATAGGGCCGACACGGACGGCTCTGACTCGGGCTCGGGCTCCGGCTCGGCACGTGATGACCCCCGCACGCACCTCGTGTTCGGCGTTGGCCTCGGGGTCCTGCTGCTGCCCTCCGGCGGCGCCGCCAGCCGCTCCCCGCGCCGGCGCCTTGCCCGGGTCAGGGAACCTGTCGACCAGCGGCGAGAGGGTCAACAGATCACCGCGTCACCTGTCGCCGAGCACCGCCGCCGCCGCACGGCTGCCGTACGCTCCTCTCGTGGTATGAGCCACTCGGACACTATTAGATAGTTTGCAGTTGGGATTAGGAAACAGATATGAATCCATAAAACATAATTTCGCAAAAATCAACGATAAACGGTCGTTTATACGGTTGTCCGGCAAAGATAGAAAACATTCACCATGGCATGTCACTCATCATGCATTCAACTTCTTTGTGAGCAGTAAGCATACAGGGAAACGTGCAGAATAAGGTCGCTCCACAAATGACGACTTCGTATGGAGCTACGA